AATAGGCTTTAAATATTGATACACACCTGGATTACATATGTGATAAAAATAGACGTCATTTCCACCCTCCTTGTTCACAGCTTCACTTACGGCCACCAGGATTGTGTCTATTGTTATTATTATGTTATTGCTTTGTGGTTTTAATTTGGATTTTTCTCTAGATCCATTGACACACCCTTCCTGACTTAATGTTGGGGGGAAATAGCTTCTTGTCTTTCCACTAAGGTTTGAGGATCAGGCTAAATGCCTGAAGTAACAACCAAAATAAACCACAACATTACAAGCAATTAAACAACAGAAAAAAGAATCCTCATTTTTTTAAACCATGTTTAATATACACCCCTACATGATGCAGGGCATGAAATTCATCCTGAATCCCTAAGCAAACAATAAAAAATCATAAATTGGTTCTCAGGGACGAGAAAATCCTTAGGAAGGGGCTATTTAGCTTCTGATAGGCAGAAATAAATTCATTTAGAGGGCCACCTCAGAACTACTAGATGTATTTAAGACTTTTGTAAGGCCTACATGTAATATTTTAATGTAAGACTTTTAATGACGTTATAAAGCCCACCAGAAACTCTGTATGTATTCCACTTATTTATCAGTTTCAACATAGAGGATCAAAGAAAAGCATCTGAAAGAGAATTTTAAATGAATGTTTTGATCTCCTCCTTTTCATGATCCAATGTACTGTAAAATAAAAAAAAGGAAAAATAGTTTCAACAATATAAATGTCATTGCTCAACATAAACTGTAACTACTGTTGAGTTGAAACTTACGGTTTTGCCATTAAATCAAGAAATGAAATGTTTGGATTTTATATTGATTTTTTTTTTTATACTGGTATAAAGAAAAGCTGGTTCAGCTCTTCTACCGCCGACGCCGAGCAGTTCCCTCGTTGTTGATTGATGTCGGACATATTGTGCAATCTGTTGTCTGTAAATGAGACGGCTGTATCTGCTTTCTTACTAAATATTTCAGTGGAGACTGTGCATACAGTCGGCATTTGTCTGAACAAGTTTCCACTTCTGATAAAATATCTCAGACAGCTATCGTGTAACTACTTACACAGCACACATACTGTGTTTGTTTCCCTAAAAAAAATGGATGTATGGTTTTTATTTAGTGCTCAATAGGGTGCATGCATGCTCCAAGATTTAAAATGATCCTCATTACATATACATCTATCTTCTTTATATATATATATATATATTTATTGCGCTGTCAGTAAAAATTAACCCCCTGGCTTTTTCGGCGTTGCATCTCCACATATTTAGCATTTCGAGTATCTCAGTATATTCTTTCTCTGGGGGTTTCTAAAGGAGCTGTAATTTTAAATAGTGATCACAGGTTTGGTACCTAATTAGTCGCAGAGTCTTGTAATATGGATGCATCCTCAGCGAGAAAACTCCTCAGTCATAACTTTTTGTTTCAGCACAAACCAATAAAAGACAAGCATTTTAAGACGACCCTCTGTGGAAAAACTGGTCATTAATTATGCAGCTCTGCGTTATCAGTTTCTAAATACCAAACGGCCTCAGCTCTCCTCCTCAGCGTATTATCAGAGCAGAGGGCTGCACCTGCTCTCATTTGCTCTGTCGAGCTCCTTCAACAGACCTGCCACTGGGACCTATTTCTGGTTCTGCAAGCTCGACACAAAGACTGTACCCTATCTTTGTCACAACAACCTGAGTTAGGTTCTCAGACGTGCAAACCGTGACTGCCTACTCTACTGTCTAACCCAATGCAGAGTTTGCTTAATATTAGTCATAACATCTAGATTTGGATCATGCAGTTTATTCTGGAGGCATTTTTATTCTCCTGACATTGAGATAATTAGATAATCATCAAATAATTTATTTGTTTTATTATTTAGTTCGAAATGTGTTTCTCTAATAATCAGTGTTTAGTGTCTTCCCTTCTCTGTATTACTGTATATTCAATTCAATTCAGTTTATTTATATAGCGCCAAATTCACAACACAAGTCATCTTAAGGCACTTTACAGTTCAACCAGATCATACAGTCAAATTGATACAAAGTTTTCTATCAAAGCAAAACCAGTTGATTGCATTGATTCAAATACAATCCTTCACACTAAGCATGCTTGTAGCGACAGTGGAGAGGAAAAACTCCCTTTTAACAGAAAGAAATGGCCTTATTATTATTATTTAAATGATCATTTATAATAAAGAATACAGAAAACTGCTACTTTAAATGTAATTTCTTCAGAATCTGACCATTTAAAAGACTGCAGAATTATGGGAAGATAAGTAGGAAAGAGAAACAAATAGAAAAAGCTGTTCCAGTAGCTTCAGCCTTCTGACACCGGCTTCAGCTGCAACTCTTACTCTCCTTCTTGAGTTAGGCCACACCTGAAGCACTGACAATAAAGGCTATTTCCAACTGACAATAGCGCGTTAACCCAGGTTTTTCAAACATGGGTCGATCCGCTATTAATCGACATTTTGCTCCCTACCCACTGGCAAAAAAAAGCAGTGTCTAACCCCTTGCTGGCAGTGTGTGGCCTCTTCCCCCCGCTGCTGCGTGTCTGGTGACACCACGACGCTGGGTTAATATCGATTATGTCACCAGTGTGACAAAAATCAGGAAAGTAAACAATGAAGAGCAACATGTGGGAAGCCTGGGCATAGTCAGTGAGATTTATTATTTCACTCTATATCTGTCTAATCCCTCTCACCAGAGCTGCGCCATGTTTATAATGCAAACAGAGTTGGTTCTGCTTGTGAGATAAGAAGGGACTGGTGCGGTGTGTTGACGCTGTACAGTAGTAGCCATTAAAACTACAATTCCTTTTTACACATCAATCTTTGTACTAAAATATTCTTTCTGTCATGATTTGTGGACATTGAGATCTAAAGAGAAGGATCATCCCCTGGTCAGACCCTGTAATTCAGTGGAGGGGTGGAGTAAGAGTAAAAAAATATCCAAGAGAGAGTTACTCCAGCAGCTGGAAGTTGGAGGGAAGTGGGCTGCAATTCGGCTGGTATTTGACTGGGAAGTGCTGTTTTGAATGGCTGCTACTGTACGTTGCATTCAATGGTATTGTGTAATTTAACCGGTCAACCCCGCATTAGTGTTTCCACAGCATGCTGATCAGAACCAAGTCGTTTGACCTGGGTAGACAGACGTCAGTGAGCTGTTCCCACTGCCGCTAAAGGCCCATTTTTTCCAGGTTTAAACTGGTTTTTCAGCCAGTGACAAAGGGGTATAAGTGTTAGAATCATCTTACATTTTTACAGATGTTGATTTGCACACATCGCCTAAACAGCTAGGCTATAACTGTGTTTAATGGAACAGTATGTTGACAATACATAAAACCCCAGACAATGTGTTTACTCTGCTGAGAGACATCAGAACTACTAATGCAGGTACCTTCTAATGAAATCTATGCATCTTTACCACCTTGGCAGAGCCACAAGCTGATCTCACTGTATGTCACACTGCACTGACACATGAATTCATGTAACAGAAGCCCAGGGAATGCACTGAATGTATATACTGCTAATCAGGCTTTTTTGTTGTTGTTAGGGCCATATTTCTGTGTTAAAAAATATTTTATTGACATTCAAGGATTGGGACAGACAAAATAATTTGAAAAAAATCGCCATGATCAGTTATTCTGGACCAAAGCGGCATGAGTAGGAGAATTTGATAAAGAACTTAGGTTAGGTCCATAGTGTGGCCATGGAAATGTGGAGCAGGAATGAGAACCAGTGAATAATGACAACAAACTGAAGGCTTAGGGAATGGGAAAAAACAGATGGACATAGTTGGCAAAATGAGGAGACATAGGTGAAGGTAATCTACTGATTAATATATAGCTCCAGGTGAGAGAGAAATTATTTAAACTTAAAAAACACAAAGAAGAAATTTAAAAATACAGAAATGACAAGAGAAAGTAGAGCAAAAACTGACTTTAAATACTAAGATATACGCAAGAGAAATAAACTAGAAACACCAGACAAAAACTAATACGGCAAACCCCAAACGGTAAAAATAACAGGATATGGTAAACCATAACAAACTAAAGCAAATCCATAATAGGATCTGAGAAAAAGGCTTAATGAGGAGTTTTCCCTTGAATTTCTTTCTTGATTAAAATATAGTTTTGAATATATTTAAACTTGGGTTTGACCTGTAGTCTTTATATCATGTAACTGATTTTAACTGATTTTTCCCGTTGGACCTCCTTAACCAAACCTTTGATAAGTGTTAGAATCTAAAATGATATACAAAGTGTTTCAAAATAATCCTTGACAAAAAGGAATGCTTAAAAATATTGCTTTTCTGAATTTCTTTTCAATAAAATAACAGGGTTCCCGTGGGTCCTTAAGAAGTCTTAAAAGGCATTGAATTCTTCAAAATAAAACTAAGGCCTTAACTGGTAATAAAATGTCTTAAATCAGTCTTTGGTAGGTCTTAATTTTTTAAACATCATAAATAGGATTGTTTTTATTACGATTTATTTATGTAATCTAAATAAAGCGTTAAAATTGACTTTTTTTTTTTATTAAAAAAAAAACAAGGGCTCGACATTATTGGTTCCGTCGCGATAGCGGAACCAATAAAGCGTTGTTGCGGCCGGGACATTTGGGAGATGCACCATGACGTTTTTGTCTGGAAAATATGAGCAAGTGTAAATGTAACAAAAATTGTCTCCAGCCAAGAGTTTTCTCCATGGCTAAAACCAGGGAACATACATGAGTGTCATGTTGGTACCAAGGTTTCTAACCCACATGCAGAACACACGGACTCAGAGGGAAAAGTTTCAACAGTTTATTTAGATACACAATGTTAATAGAGAACTGATTCGGGGGGAAACAGGTCCAAGACTGGTCACGACTGGTTTCTCTGCAGAGAGGGACAGAATGGTTAGCTGATGTCCAAGTATGCTCGCTGGTTGAATGAGTGCAGGTCTCTAACTGTTCAGTGGTTTGAGCTGAGCGGCAGAGGAGGGGAACCAGGAGGGTCCAGAGGCAGAGGGCAGGCAGAGGGCTTGGTAGAGGCAGAGACTTGATTTCTGATATTGCAGTTTCTAATCTGAGTTTCTCTTCCAGTTTCTTCTGAGAGTGGGCAGGCAGGTTACTGACAGATTGACTTTCCAGGGTTCTTCGGAGATCAGACAGGCTGGTTTCAGACTGAGAAACTCTTCCTGAGTTTCTGGGTTCAGACAGGTTCTTCCTAGGAAGCAGAGAGGACAAAAACAGGTTAGGTCCTGGTTCAGGTTTCAGGGGAGTCAGAGAATCAGACAGGCAGGTCGGCTCAGGTTTGCTAACCCTAACTGGCATAACACTCTGGCACTGGAGTGTTGCTCTGCCTCTCCTTAAATGCTGGTCTCCTGATGAGAAAACGAGCCGCAGGTGTGGTAGTCAGCTTCAGCTCCAGGAGACCTAGGGCGCCCTCTGCTGGAGAAAGGAGGACAGACCTCCAGATCCCAACAATGAGGCACAGTCGATTTTGTGCAAGACGCAAGAAACAGCCGGTATTTCTCGGTTTTGTTCCACCCTTGTCTCTGCAACGCCTCCACTTATCACCAAATCAAACATACTAAGAAAACGATACAAAGAAAAATAGCTGCAAAAAAGACTTAGCACTGGTTATGTTGTGGCTTTAAAACTGATTTGTTTTGTTCCCTGCTAAAACAAAGTTTGTGAATTCAGTTAAATAATTGTTTAAATAAATCTGTCATTTGTGTGTTTTTAGCTTTCTTCCTGTATGGGAAGCTTTTCAAAATTTGAAACATTAGTGCAGTGGTTTGTGTTAAAATAAACCTTTGGGTTAAGTTGTCGCAAGCAGGTTTTTCTTGTGTTTCTTGTGGATCTGGTCTTAAATTTTTATTTCAAGTGGCATTAAAAAGTCTTAAAAAGTCTTGAATTTAACTTGCCTTATGCTGTAGGAACCCTGGATAAAAATAAACGAGAAAACAAATATTTTATTTGACAGTTTTAGCTTCATTTAGAGAAAAATATAAACTAAGTAATATTTACATAAAAAAAACTTTTTATTACATCAGAATATGTTTAATCTTATCAAACCAAAGTCACATCATTGTATTATTATTATTTTTTTTTTCTGGGTGCTCCTACAGCCTGTTGAAAGTGGGGTAGCAATGATAGCATCTCTCTGATCTCCGGCTCCCCATCCTGCCTCATGTCGTATTTGCCGATGGAGGTTGCACTTATGAGCCTCACCCCTGTAGAGTCTTGTCCTTGGCTCTGTGAGTGTTGGCCCCGACTCCATGCAGAGCAGTCGGTAACAGGTCAGTCGGCTCCGTCAGAGAGGAAAAGAGGCCAGAAGGGAAGGAGGCAGAGGAGGGGAGTGGGAGAGGATGGTAGTTCAGCGCTCCATCTGGGGAATACCAAACAGGCCAGGAGAGAAAAAGAGACTTTCTCTTCTCAGATTAGAGACATTGAGTCTGAAAAAGAGCGAAGGCTGGAAAGAAACTGAAACCATTTCCACTGCAGAGAGGATGAGAAGACAGCAGCAGTTTGCTCTTTTTTGCTGTAACCCACCTGAGACCGAGTCGGTCTGAAAAACTAAGTAATACGCCTCGGATCCAGGGATTGGAGATGGTCAGATTTGTAGCTTGTGAAGCCCGATCTGTTGGCCGCAGCGCTGACATGACAGACACGGGGAAAAGAGTGAAATATTTTTCAAGATGGGATTTAAGGCTCTAACAATGAAAGCTGGAGGTGGAAAAGAGGTCTCTGAGGAGTAGATCTGAGCGGTCGTCTACCCTCCAATTGCTGATTGGCTGCTTCCACCCAACAACAACTGACATTCCTTTTCAACCTGACCAATTAGTGAAAAAAGGGCCTGTCCTGTTCGGCTTCCCTCAGCTCAGCCTATCTGCGACACATCTTCTTAATTGTAAAGAATGTTCACCAGCACTCTGGAGGCTACTCTGAAGGGAGCGGGAGTGTATATCCTCCCGTTTTTAAGTCCTCTCTCTCTTTGCTTCAGCTTTAGCGCCCAGCACAGGCTGTTCCTTGCATGTTTAATTCAGCAGAAGGCATAGAAGTGCTGTGCATTATCTGTGCTTGGCTCTGAGTGGAGGAGATGGAGAGGCTGGAAGACGAGGCCCGTTAATTGTCAAGTTCAACTTTAGCTGTTAATCCAGTTGAGGCTGAGTTGAGTACAAAGTACTGCGAGTATAACAGGTGTGGAGGAAGTTTCTTCCTCCTGATGTTGCTGCAGCCTCTTTAAGAAATAGTTTGTTTCTTAAAGAAATGTGTTGTTTGATTTTCTCTACCAGGTTATTTTTAAAGGAATAGTACACCCAAAACATGATTAGCCTTCATTTTCTACTCACCCCCATGCTGAACAACACTCTGGAGTACTTTTTTGATATCTCAAATGCCTCTGGAGATCTGGGAGGCTTCTTGCTGTCTGCTGACATTCAAATAATGGAGGTCTATGGCGCCCGAGGCAGAAAGGTCCATAAAAGTCCACAAAAAACGTGTCAATATTCCTCCATACTGCTCGTCCAATGTATTCCAAGTGTCCTGAGTGGGTAGCATCCATAATTTACTCGAAACGAAGTCATTTAGAATGTTTTTAGAGCATAAACAGTAGTGTATAGGATTTCCTAAAAGCGCGTTCACGAGTCTACGGAAACCACGGCAGACCAAACCAGATGAAAGTGCGCATTCAGCTCGGCAAAGAACTCATGCTCTTCCTCAACACTGGAGTCCTCAGACATTTTTCTTTCGTTGTTTCTTTCTTTGCACAGGTAAACAGCACATTTCTTCTTCTACGCTTGCATTATCGGCAGAGCAGACGCTGAATGCGCACTTTCATCTGGTTTGGTCTGCCGCAGTTTTAGGAAATACTATACACTACTGTTTATGCTCTAAAAACATTCTAAATTACTTCGTTTCGAGTAAATTCTGGACGCTACCCACTCAGGACACTTGGAATACATTGGATGAGCAGTATGGAGGAATATTGACACCTTTTTTTGTGGACTTTTATGGACCTTTCTGCCTCGGGCGCCATAGACCTCCATTATTTGAATGTCAGCAGACAGCAAGAAGCCTCCCAGATCTCCAGATGCATTTGAGATATCAAAAAAGTACTCCAGAGTGTTGTTCAGCATGGGGGTGAGTAGAAAATGAAGGCTAATCATGTTTTGGGTGTACTATTCCTTTAAGTGTTAAATGATGATGACACATTATGAAGAGAGTTTTAAAAGATGAACATATTAAATAATCTAAACAATAATTTCAACTGAAACCAATAATTCTTCCTTTTGCTGCTAAAGCGATATTATTTTTACATTTATAATATTGAATCACCTGAGAATTGACCCAAAGGTGATAAGGTTAGGTTTAAAATGCAAATTGTTGATTAGATAGAAAATTTATCCTGTCAGGAAGAGGAAGCCAGAAGTCCTGTCTGAAGCCTAGAAACCGAACAGCGAACAACTTCAGCGCTATAAGAAAGAGAGTCAAATAAAATCTCCCCACCTGATCTTTATTTATTTATTTTAAAAATATTTGTTTGTGGCTTTATAGCTTCTAAGAGTTGGATGGTAAAATAGAAACAGAGGTTGTAACGATTGCCGCCCTCCGTTTAATGAAGTCTAAGAACAGATCTGCACTAACTCTGGTCTCTATGGTAACCAGGTGTTTTGTTGAACTTGAGGAAGAAAAATAGAACCCAGTCAAGTTTCAGAGATCTTCTACAAGTTGCCTTAAATATTCAACAAAAAAAAAACAGTATTGACTTTAAAGTCTTCAAAACTTCAGTTGACATTAAAGTTCTTCATCTTCTGTTAATCTATCGGTTGAATTAGAATAATTTCTCTGTTCCTGGAGATTTTCTGTTCTCTGGGTGTTTTTTTAGCTGCATATTTAATAACAAAAAAACAATCTGTGATTTATTTTTGTGATTCATAAAATGTAATCAGTGTTTTACAGCCTTGTTTAATTAAATTATATTGATCCTGTAGCTTCATTTAGCCCAAACTCTTAGCAGCGACGATCCTAACATATTGGGACCAAAGCTCTTAATGCTAACTCTGACCAACATTTAGTTTTTCCCCTAACAGAGTCCCTCTTTATGTATATAAAGGAACCCCTGAGAGCAGTTCTCTTTGCAAAGCGTCTCTGCCCGGCGTCCAAATCTCATTTTATGCTGCCTTCTTTACTATAGGATTTGGGTCGGGGGCCTGAGACGGGCGATGAAGGAGGTCTGTTCTCCTTCTGCTTTGCCATTTGCTAAGGATCATTATCCTTTGGGGAAACAAATTAATGACCCGTTAGTAGTTAGGTGGAGGACTTTATTTAAACTCTAGGTGTAATTCAATGGTGGAATACACTCTAACAAGGTTCCCAAGGCCTTTGGAAGAGAAAAAGTCCCACAGCATCACGCATCCTCCACCTTACATAACATTGCATCATTGTTTCACGTCACACCAACCAGGTTTTTTAACTTCTAAAAATGTTTTATCTTTAAAAAAAAGGGGTTTCATGTTAAAAAAAAAAAAAATTATGTTGATATATGAAAAGTAGAGAACAATTTTTTTTTTATGGTTGCTATAGAAACCCTCGTTCTGCCCACTTTGTCAAACCTCCAGTTCTACTTTTACATTTTTTGTTGCTGACACTTTTAGATGAAAAGTACTGATTTTTTTCTGGACAATCTAAACTGAGGATCAGCACACATCGGATTGGGGATTTTGTCAAGAACAATTATTATTCTTCTGAACTTTGCTTAAAATAATGAAAAATAAAGATTAATATCAAGACATTTGTGTGAGCAGTTTTCTTAACTACAGAAAAATGTTACAAAATCTGTTTATATTTTGCACTTTATTAACTTGGAGGGTGATTTTTTTCTTTCCGATATATCCAAGCAAACTGTGGCTCCTTACATTGATGTGAAAGGTGCTCCAGGATATAGTTTTTTGCAGAATAAAATAGACTGAACTTCGGCCTAATTAGTGCAGCTGAAGCTGAGAAAACCTTAAACATCATTAATGTTTTCTTTAGGGTCATAATTATAACATTTTATACAACACTAAAAGCAAAGGGATGCTCATTTTTTTTTGAGGTACAGCCTTTCTTTCCTTGCAGAACTGTTGGGGGGGGGGGGGGGGGAACAAAAAAAAAACTTTACAAAACCCAAAGGATTCACCAAGCAGTTCCTCCATCCATCTTGCTCTAATGTCTTCATTTAGTTGGTCCCTTCTAACTGAAACAATAAAATTTTCATTCACTCCTCATTCCTTAGGCGTTGCTTTAATGAACTGGATCTAAACATCCCTTTGTATCCCTTTTAGAGTGGCAGATAGTTAAGCCATTTAAAAGATTCTGAATGTACATGGCAGCACATCAACTGATCCAATCAGGGCGGCTGGGGAGGCCGGCTTTCATCTTCACTAATTGACCTTAACATTTGACTGGAGACAAAAGCAGTTGAAGAACTAATTTGTTAATTTTGCCAGATTTTAAACCATTCATGTATTCTGCATTTATTTCCTCCTCCCTGCACGACCTCGGCTCTCTTTCCTCTATTCGCAGACATCCTCGCCGATCTAAGTGGGTCTGAATTCATGCAGTGCCAAGAAAATTTCAACATGATTTAGGCTCCAACATAATGGTGAATTCTGCATGAATTAGTTTCCCTCTGGGACATGAATAAAGATCTCAATCTGAGAAACAATGAAAGCTTTGGAAATGTTTTCTTTTGAAGGAAGTCTAAATTTAGACAATAAGAATGGGTAACTTTAGGATGTGGATCATGAAAACAGCCTGATCCAAATGTGTTGGATTTGGAGAGAGAGTGGGAGAGTTACCTTATGTATGTATTTATAACTTTTTCAGATACAAAGAGGTTATTGAACAAGTTCTGTGTTATTTAAAACAATAATGTGAAATGAAAGTCGAACCAATCATTGAATAATCTAAATGAATTAGGCCTGAAACCATTAATCGGATTAATGGTCATTATTTGATTATTGAAATAATCGTCAACTGGATTGTAGAGACTGTAAAACATGCCTTTAGTTGACAGAGCGACCCACTTAGAGCAGGGGTCTTCAACGTTTTCCAGGACAAGGACCCCCAAACTGATGGCGAGATGGAGTGGGGACCCCCAAATTATATATATTGAATGAAATTGTGTTATATAAAACTGGTCCTATTGTCACTCTATTACAGATGGAGTCATGTAACGGAAGTAATTTCTCCCTGGGGTTATTAAAGTATTTCTGATTCCTGGTTGATGGGACAGGTGTTGTGAATGAAACAGTTCCCAGCTTAAAAGAGCTCCTGTGTGTCGCTGAATGTGTGCATTGATGACTGAAAGACATCATCTGCCTCCATTTATCTGTTTAATACAGTGTGTTTAATTCATGTTTATGTGTATTTAAAGACTTTTCAATTAGTGGAAAAATTGCAGGGGGGAATATTAAAAAAAGAGTGTTATCAACCAAAACTTTTGCGACCCCCATGCAGTACCTCCGTGGATCCCCTAGGGGTCACGGACCCCCTGTTGAAGACCTACGACTTAGAGCATTAATTATACCAAGATTGTAAATAAAAAATGTAAACATTTTGCATTTAAGATAAAAAACTATTTGTCTGTCAGTATTCTCTATCCAGAACTCCTCAAGTGGAAAAGCTTTAGTTTCACTGGGTTTAATTTTGCAAAAAGTCTTCTTTAAGGTACCTTTTGTTATCCGATTATTCATCGGAAAAAAATTATCGATAGATCAATTGGTTTGCAAAATAATCTTTAGTTGCAGCCCTAGAATGAATGATTGTAATAGTAACTGGAATAAAAACAGTGAATCTGAGTGCTGGTGAAAATTCTCAGTCATCCAGGTCATAGTCATTCCAAAAAAGTTAAAAAAAATTAATTTTTCAGAGACAGAGAGAGGTATGAGGCATTGCAGAAGAAACCAAATGACC